ATCTCCGCGCAGCCATCTTGATAAGCACGCGGCGACAGTTTGAGTTAGAATGTGAGCACACTGTTTTCCAGCTGCTGTTGCATACTTTCACAAATTTGAGGAAGCGGAGGAAAAGAAAGAGACAAAGTGTGAGTGATTTTGGTTTTCTTGAGAAAAGAAGCAACTGCGGTATTATAATAAACTTTGGATGCGCGGATTGCAAGAAGAGGATTTTTTTAAAAACTTATTTATTTTCTACCTGTTTTAAATTGGCATTACCAGTTTTCATAACAATAAAATAGAACAAGTTTTATTTACGGACGATTAAAAATATTTTTTGGCAAACCCGTCGGAGTCCCGCAGGATGAGGAAAATAGTTTGGACCTTAATATAAGGTTTTGAAAAACCTGGGTGAAGTTTTGATAATTGTTTTAGAAACTTTTAGTGAAGTTAAAGTATAACGATTTGAAAAGAATCAATTTTTTAAGTTCTTCTGTAAATTTGAGTTTTGATATAAAGTAGGAAAAGATTTAAAATGTTACGCAAAAGGAGATTATTTTGAATTACTTACTTGAAATTTGTTAATTTTGTAGAAGAGAGGCATTACACCTAGGGTAGGCATATGAAAGAGAAGAACCTAATTATGGTTTTATATAAACAATTTTTACAATTAATCGCGTATTTGAAGTTTTCATTTATTAAAAGATATAAAAATAAATATTATAAAACGATGCTTTCATGACAAAAACTTCGCTACTTCAGAAGATTGGATTTTTTTATTAGGAAGTATCTCACGCAATCAAAAAAGCAAGAAAAAAGCGGAAAAAGAATTTATTTCGGAAAGAGACTTGGTTTGACGGCCAACAGCGGTTTTTGGCCACAGGGAGATACATACAATCCTTTTGTCATTTGCTTATTTATTAATTCCCAGTATATAATTTCCCACAAAGAACAGAAATCACCGATCCACGTTGGAACGCCCACAGAACAGGACAGACGTAGAATGGGCTAATCGAAGCACGTAAACACATGCAGAGAGCAAAAAGTCTTCCAACTCTCTTTTAATACTATGTTATCTCCCAGGGATACGTTTCCTACATCGATTCCAGAGTCTTTACACTGCTCTCTTGAGGAGACTTCGAAAATCTCTTGGTGACCGTCATGTCCTCCGGAGAAGAAGATCGGCTCTCCTGAGAGTTTACACGTGTCTCCTAACCAGTTCCGGAAAGTTATGAGAGAAAACATCTCTCCGTGTAAACGCGCCTTTAGCAGGAGCAACGCGAGGACATCCCTCGACAGCATCCGCGACGAAAGACCTCTTGAAGACCGGCGTATGGAAGATATTTTCGTAGCTTACGAGCATTTGTAACAAGAAATGCCGTACGGAATTTGTGACTATACAAATTAAAGATGATCATTAGATTGAGCTCGAAATGACAATTAGTAAACCAAATGTAGATCTAAAGAATAAATATCAATTTTTTATTAACCAAAGTAAAAAGCTGATAATTTGTAGATGTTGCCATCAAGTTTTTAATAAACAGCAGAACTTCCAGAAAACTGGCGATTCTTACAGAGGACGCAAGTCCACGTTTAATAATAAAATAAAGAAGGTAAAGTGTTATTCGTCGATAACTCAGTTTGTAAAATGAATGTAATGTTTGAAATAGCCAATATTAATGAATTTTTTCAATAAATGTTAACCGCGCAAATAGGGAAGAGGTGGATTTTGCCGCATAGGCACAGTAGGGCAGTGCCTACGGTGCCGGCAAATTTTCACAGGCGCAAAATTTCTTTGATTATTTTCTAAAACAAATTTAGGTTCTTCTAAAACTATAATAGCATAAATCATATTTTTATTTTTAAAAATATCATATTAATATTTAATACAAGCTATTTATTGTCTACTCATTAGAGTATACCTTATGATTTCAGAAGTATATGAATCTGAAACTAAGGCCCTTGACGAAAGAAAACATGTTTGCAATTCTAGTTGTCATGTTTTAGCTTCTTTGGAATGTTAACGTTTCAGTGTTTGAACGTAAATAATGTTGAACGTTACTTGCTATGAACGATACCAGTTTATATCCAAAAATTAGTAATCCAAATAAATTATTTTAATTTATTGAAAACAATGAGCCAAAATATAATGTTACTTTAAAGTTAAAACGTTTAAATTAACGAGGAAATTTGTTAGCTGAAACGTTACAATTTGAAATGTAACATTTAATTTTAAACAGGGGGCGGGCAAATTGATGTGCCTACAGCGGCAAAAAATTAATCCGCCCCTGAAAATAGATAATTAGTGGATGTTTATAGTTATAAATAAAAGTATTCGAAAAATGGCTGCCCAACCTGGCGGAATGTTAAAATACATAGATTAAATTAGTAAAATCATAAAACCATCACAATATTGGTATGAAGGATAGATTATTATAGCACAGCGCGATAAGTATAAAGTCTGTTAAGATGAAGGGGTAAAGGTAGGACAAGGAAGTGGAAGAAACGATCGTGCTCATCCGTGACCCGTTGTTAGGGTCCGTCCGTTAGGCATCCTTTTCATGTTGATCGAAGAAACCTGGAAAACCACCGATCCAGATTAGCCTGCCGCTAGTTCTTCCTCCTCCAAGACAGTGGCTGAAACCGACCTTTGCCTGTCTAGCTTGTGTTCCAAAAATACCTACCAACCGTCAGGAAGTGGAACCTTATGACTTTCTCCCCGCCAAGGATGCACTTTGCAGTGAGCATCAGTGATAACACACAAGGAAAATTATTGTGGGACGGGGCCCCTGACCCCCTTCCTCCGCTATCGACGCGTTGTGCAAGTGGATCACGTAAACAGCGACAGCCGGCAACGCGACGTGTTGCAATTTACCGCGCTCGGCAGGTGCATCGCAAGTATGCCGACAAACAATGACTTCCACTCACTTGTGGCGCCCTCCCCTCCCTCTCACCTGTGCCTTCCCCTCTTCTCGGCTGTCAACTATCAAAAGCGCCGCCTCCACGTGGAGAGAGTGTCTCTTGCCTCTCCGCTAGATGGGCAGGAGATACCGAACGTTACTATCTCTACGTAAATGTCAGATTTATTTATTTTTGTTCTGGCTCTCAAACAACAACAATAACAGGTAACCAGAACAACAATCATAACAATAAAACCTACAAAACCAAAATATTATGTGAAAACATTTGAAGCAGAACTTCAAACTTTCGGTGAATATTTTAACATGGTCATTTCAAACATACCTTTTAAGTTTGAGAAAAATATAAGAAAGATATTTTTTGTATTTGCTCGTAGATCTTAAATTAGTTTAATAGTTTTACCGATCCAAGTTATCTCAGGATCTCTGATCCCTGTTTCAAGGAAAGCACATTTCACTTGCGTTTTCAATTCGTCAATAGGGCTGGAGAAAAAAGATATCGATAAAAAACTAGACTTACAGAAAACTGCAGTCAATGTTTCTAAATTTTTGTAGTTGACGCATTGGGTATTAATGTATTAATTTTATTTTTATAAAAAAAAAAAAAACAGCAAAAACTATATGTAACGAATGAAAAGTAGAATCTCAGTTATGTGTACGTTTCCTTGATTCCTTAACCCTTTAGGACTACTACTGTCGCTTTTTCTGGAACACGCCGAATTATTCCGGAGTCTTGGAGATTAGTGTTAATGAGAGTTTACTGTTAAAAATACATTTTTAAATGTTTTAAATTGAAAACAAATGCAGGGCTCGAATTAAGACGGGGCTTGAGGAAAGTTGCCCCAATCTTACCTCCGGGTCACACCTGTTTACTATTAATAGCTGAAAAGGCGAATAACGCAGTAATAAGCGTCAACATTTGAAAACTAGAAAAAGTTCATTCCAGAGTCATTACTTTGGAACCGTTTAGTGTACGTACTGCGAAACGTTTAGTAAAAAAAAATAGAAAACGTTCCATGAGTAATGACTTCTGGAACGTTTTGATTGTTTTCTATTAAAACCTTTTTATATCGGCAAATTGATTTTTAAAAATATGCTAAAAAAACAACGCAATACCCGGCGTCTACTTTTTCGACAATAGCAAAAAGATATCAAACAAACTACAGGATTGGATTTTTTGGTGGATTGGATTAGGGATTATTTCTAACAAAATAACGGACCTCGATCCGTGCATCTAAGACAACTAGCAAAGGAGAAGCCTCAACAAAATGTTGCACATGAAGCAAATTTTTGGGCAGAAGCAAAGAAGGAAACCATTAGCATTTGCTCAATGGATCAAAAGCTCAAGGAACGAAAAGCTAATCGAGATGGATGTTGTTTTTTTTCACTACAATTACACCATCTGGCAGCTGTTTGGTAAAAACAATTACACATTTTAAACTTAATCAAACAATTAGACATCGTGGCTTTTACGGCCGGAGTCAGTAAAAGAGAAATTTTTGTGGGCTTGGTACGCCGTGAGTTCAATTAGACCACGGCCTACAAGACGGGGAAAATTTCTCTGTATAGATAAACAAAATGTTAGTAATGGCATGCAAAACATTGCGTCAAATGTTATCATATTAAAATAAATTAAATTAACCCCGCAAAACGTGTCTTAATTTACACAATTAGGAAGCTAAAAATGTAAGGAATTATTACATTAAATTAAAGGTTACAAATTCTTAACATTTATTAAAAATTAAGTTATAAATTCAAAGTATTAATACAAATATTAAAACAAAAGTTGAAAAATTTCAGTTGTTTACTGCAGTCCGAAATCTCGAGTAGGGCCGGCCTGCGCTTCGGCGAGTTCTCCTCTGGTGCGCTAGATGCCAGGAGCGTCGCCCTGGTCGCGCTCGCGCCCGCGGCGTCGACCAATCGCGTGGCGCGCCTGTGGTTCGGAATGCGGGGGCCAGCCTGCGCGCCGCTCAGGCTTGCCATACTCGTCGAGGCGAGCGCTGTCGCCTGACATGTCCGCCGCCGTCTTACGGCTTCGCGAGTGGTGCGTGTGATTGTGCGTGCGGGATCCTTCTGCGTGTGACCGTCCAGAATGCATGCTGCGTAACCTGCGTTGCATCGGGGGCGACTTCATTCACCTACTGCAACGTCGAGGTGAGTACCCAAACCGGCGTGGAACGGAGGAAAAAAATAAAAATAAAACTGAAATAAAGGACCGCACGCTCCGGAGTTCCTCGCTGTGTGGTGGTGGAGGAGGAGGCGGCGACTGTGGAGGAGGCGGAGGTGGATTTTTGTGGGTTTGTTTTGAAGGACCGGCCGTGTACCCACGTAACAAGCGATCCGTTGTTCGATGGTCCGCCGTCCCGACAAAGATACACCTTGTGCGCGTGCGTGTATGCGTAAGATAATGCGGCGGAGGCTGGGACTGCGGCGTCGCTGCGCGCCGGCGCTTTTTCGTTCTCGAAGGTAGCGGTCCGGCGTCGCGAAGGCTGCCTGGTGCGGGCGCGGGAGGAGCAAGTGCGTAGAACGAACGGCGGAATTTTTTTTCGGGCGGCGCGGGCCGGGTTTGGCCCGGTGGCGGCAGGTGCAACGGAGAGCGGGAGAGCGAAGTCGCGTGTTGCTGTCGCCGCGACTGTCACATTTCGCGCCTCGCGGTCGCGCATGTTCCGTACGTGACGTGGGTCCCCGACCAGGGCCTCCTGTGAATGTGTGTGTGTGTGACGCATGGGTCGGCCGCCTGCCCGCCCGCGGCGCCGCCGCCGTCAACAACAGGTGGCTTTGGACGGGGGTGGGGAGGCGGATCGGAATTGGCCTGCGGCTAGTTGCTGATTCGGAGATGAGGAGGGCGTTAAATCGAGAAACCCGCGTTCGGCGTTGCTTGAAACAGAAACGATTTAAGAAGTCAAGGTGACAGATGTAAGCTACCAAAATGCTACACAATCGACGATTTTTAGACAACTGCCTGTTTTATGCATGACGCAACCAAAATAAATGCATTTTTCGTGACTTTGCGATAGGAAGGAGACACATTTATAGTGGGTACCGAAAAGTTTATTCGTCCTGTAAAAGCCTGACGATGCATGTTTGGAATAATTAAAACCATACTGAGGCAAAAATCAGTTTTGAATTAAAATTTCACTTTACCTTTAATTGTTCGACAATAAAAGTCAATAAGTGCACAGAATGTTATTTCAAAATTAAAATATCTACCATTTACAATTGTTGAAATAGAAGTATAATTTTTGCATTTTTGCAAAATTAACCTGAGTGAAATAAATCTTAGTTTCAAAAAATTACATTTTTGTGATAATTTTAAAATTTTATACTAGACTATTTAAAAACGTTGAAGTAAAATAAAATTTATGTTACGTCATCTTGTTGCAATTTTATACCACCTATTTAAGACACAGTATACTTTGTATTTTTAAGAGCTTGTTCTAGGCGACAGAAGTCTACTCATCAATAGTACTTCATATAAAATCTAATCCACTCTGAATGTCACGTTTGGCGAGAAATATACTTACATTTACAGTTCCCGAACAAAGGACTGTCTCATCATTTGCTCTCAGAGGTATTGGATGAAAAGCACTGTCTATATTATTGGCCCAGTCTCATGTTTAGAGTTTTAAAAAACGATCATTATGAAGGTAAATAAAATTTAATGATTTGCAATTTATTAACAATTCTCAAGACATTAAAGTAAAAACGAATTAATGTTTAAGTGTAATTGATGTTCGAAAAAATAAGTGAATTTAAAGGTGTTACGTGCATGTATTAGATCACGATTTTCGGTACACCGTAGAAAATAATTTATATATTTTTGTTGTGTTTTTGAGCTGTGAGAATAGATTTAATTAAGCAGTGTGAATGATACTTCTCAACTAAGTTACTTTTGTAAAAAGAAAGCATGAACAGCATAATTGAGAAAAACTGCTTGAAAAGATCAGTTGAAACGCTTGCAAATGCCAGGATGTCGTCCATTTTCAGTGTGTTGATTCGTTCTAGTGATGTCAGACGGTGTTTATGTACTCCACGCTGAAAATTCCAACAAACTCGAATAAGTGTCATGCGCGATTTGCATAATTTGAACTCTTCTCTGACATTTACACACATTTTCCGACCTTTTTGGTCTACTCGTGATCATTTTCTGTTTACCTTATGTTATGTGTCCTAGTTATTTGAAAAATCTTATTCTTCAAGGGATTGTTCAACAACTACCACGAACACAAACACCTTCCCCTTTTCTCACGTTTGTAGGTAGATTATCTTATCTTTTCAAGTTTATATACGATCAGTTGGCGAAATGAATGGACCAAATGATGTGGAAGAGACTGTTGCAAATGAGAGAAATAATTTCATCCCAGTAAAGTCAAAAAAATTGCATGATACAGAATACCAGAACTGCAAATGGCGAAGAACACATTTGTAATGAGAGCTTAAGCTTCCGCGGCGCAGCCGAGTCAATAGTTACTAGGCTGTCCGGGGTGACTCCACGTCCTAGGCATAGATGCCAACGCTTCGGCAGTCATGCTCCCTTATCCTCATTCCTCAGAGCAAATCCTATTAACTTCCGAAATGTAATGACAAATGACACTGCATTTTGCCCTGACGAAGGTCGCATCATGGCGGTCGAAACGTTGGTATCTGTGCCTAGTAGGCAGCGTCTCCTGGACAGCCAATTGGCTAAACAAATCGCAAGGTATCCAAAACCATATTTAGTTTGGGTATCCTTGCCCTTCCATCCCTTGATCTTTCGATTTACGTATTTTATTATGTTGTGAATTGAACAACAGAAGTTAAAAACATTGGTAACAAGGGATAAAAAAAATCACACTTCTTTCAAAACTTAATGTGCAGCAGAGTTGAAGAGAACTGCGAGCATTCATCTGTTATCTCCGCAAGCCCCCTCAGGACATCGCTTTCTTTGAGTCTTCTCATGAACCATTTAAACGGGTAGAAGCAGCGGATTAGATGTTTATCGCAGATGGGGCACGCAAAAGGGAGTAGATAATAGGTGTTTATGATAGGAGTGGTAAAAGTGACATTTTATTTTGCGAGTAGGGAATGTTGCGACACGAGAACGAACCAGTGCCGCAATCCTACGCGCAAAATAAAATCAGTTTTACCACGTGTATCGTATGCTATGTTTCAGGCAACCTTCCTATTATTTTCATTCAAGTATACGAATAACCTAATGCTATATTCAGATCAGCAGTAGCTGATGACGAAAGAAGTTTGCTTTCTTTGTTGTTCTCACAGACTTATCTGAATACTTGAGTATTATCTCAGTTTTAGCACTTGTACTCGAAATTGAACTATTGGCACGTTGTGCATGCCCAGAAAGAACCGCTGTTACTGGTGAATTTCTAAAAATACATTTTTATCACCTGCGGTTGATTACCACGCAGACTTTACTAATAACATTAACAAAACATTATAGCCTCGCTGTTTTATGTCCGGAAGTCTGAAATGATAGTTCCAATAATAATGTTTACTCTCTCACAGTAATAGCTGCGTAATTGCAAGTAACTACGTTCAAGGTTTTACTAACAGTTATCAAAATGTAAGCGTAGAAATAAGTAAATAAACACTGAAATGAAATAAAAAATAAGGGCAAACGTAGAAGTAATTAATAGGCAAAGAAATAAAGAAGTAAACCATTAGGTAAATCAATCAATTAATTATTAAGTAAACAAATATATAAATTACTTAAGCCGTTAGTTTCGTAAGTGTAGTGAATGTATCCCAGAGGATAGCTGTGTACATTGCCTCTTAATCATGAAATCCTGCTCCGTTCTACACGTCGGCTTCCGGGATTGTTCTCTCTCCAGGAAATCTCTCCCAGCGTGGCACCGTTCTAGGCGGCCGTCACAATGAATCCGATTTTCCCCAAAAAATCGCTCGGCTGACGTCAGACGGTGAATGGAAACACATTCGACAGCTGATGTTCTCCCAAGCTACGGCATCGGAAGACGTCGTTCGGGTTCATTAGAACCATTTTTATTTATACCATTTCGTGTTTGAATGAATCAGACTTAGGCAAAGAAAGACCGACCAAAATTGGCTCCACTGTGGCCTAAGTTCCAGATTAGTTTGGCAGTATAGTGCATGTAAGTTTAAATTGTGTGTGTGTGTGTGTGTGTGTGTGTAAGGGAGGAGGGGAGAATAATGAAGAAAGAAAGATCGCGCGCTGTCCGTGGCCTGTTTATTCAGGTACTGCTCTGGCATTCACCCGCCATTGATCGCGAAAACCACGGAAAACCAACGATCAGAGACGCCGACCGCTAGAATTCTCCTCCAGACAGCGGCTGAACTCAACCTAGCTATGTAAATTGTGTCGAAAATCTTGCTACCGTCGGGACTCTGACCCTAGAACCTAGAAACGTCAGAGAAGTCACGGTGTAATACATATAGTGTATATTTCTTACACCTTGGAGATGCTGACTAGAAAGCGGTGTTATCTCTGAGCTATCCTCATGGATGTGAACAAAAGAATGTGCACGGAAATGAGTAAAAGTTAGGGAACGAGTAAACGCGAGGGTAGCTCGTCCTGTAGCGACAGTTTTCGAGGGCAAAGGACGTCCTGTACCTGCACTACAATTCCACAAATGACGCTACTTGTGGACCTGTCTCTGCAGACAACCACGGAGCTTTGCTGAGCGATGTCAACCACACGTGTCGTGTATGCCTAACGACTCTCGTTCTGGTTCTCCAGCCACCGCCACCCGCGAGAGAACCAAACGCAGGAAGAAAAAGCCGCCTGGAACTGTGACCGTTTTGAACGCCTTTCAGAACACCCGTCGCGTCGACATTGTTCAGCAGATGGGTCGATAGTTATGCAAATGGCGGGTCGCGTAGATACGATAGTTCAGATGTTATTTTCGTGTTCATTCCGGCGGTCGAGAATTTTTTTTTTTTTTTCGGGGGCCAAACGCATGAATAATTTTCTAAAGATTACGTGAAAAGGGAATGTATTTTAATGTAATAGGTGTAGAACAATATTTCTTGCCTTTAAATTGGGAGAGGCAGTAGATTATTATTTATTTTC